TGTAGAGATGAGGTCTCGCCAAGTTGCCCAGGCGGGTCTCGAACCCGTGGGCTCAGGCAATCTACTCAACTCAGTCTCCCAGAGCGTGGGATTACAGGCTGAGCCACCGAGCCTGGCTTAATTTTTTGATTTATTGTAGGGACGGGGTCTCGCCAAGTTGACCAGGCTGGTCTCAAACCCCTGTGCTCAGGCAGTCCTCTCACCTTGACCTCCCAGAGTGTTGGGGTTACTGGCGTGAGCCATCGCACCCAGCGTGACATTAGTCACAACTAGGAAAAGATTTACATTTCATGTTCTTGCTCATTGTGGCTTCACGTGCCACTTGCACGTCAGGGAGAGAATTGATCACACTCCCGCTTCCCATCTGGGATGAGACGTGGGGCTGGTGGGTCTCTTGTCCTCTAGGGACTCGGAGAAAGTAAACAAGTTTAACAAATTCTAGCGATCCTTTGGCTACACTTGCTTTTTACAGGCCTCTAGAATGCCTGTTAAATATGTTTGTGTTTTGTTTTGAGTCGGAGTCTCACTCTGTCGCCCAGACTAGAGTGCAGTGGCCACTCCCGGCCACCACAGCCTCCACCTGCTGGGCTCCGGCGATCCTTCCGCCTCAAAATATGTATTTTTTAAGTTAACTAGTTGTATTAAAGAAGTACAATGAAGGTAACTCTCACCAGGTGTGGTGGCTCACGCCTAATCCCAGCACTTTGGGAAGCTGAGGCAGGAGGACTGCTTGAGCCCAGGAGTTCAAGACCAGCCTGGGCAACATAGACTTGCCTCTATAAAAAAAAAAAAAAAAAAATTAGCCAGGCTTGGTGGTGTGCACCTGTGGTTCCAGGTACTCGGGAAGCTGAGGTGAGAGATCACCTGAGCCCAGGAGGTCGAGGCTGCAATGAACTGTGATCATGTCACTGTACTCCAGTCTGGGTGACAGAGTGAAAAGCCCCCAAATCAAAAAAAAAAAAAAAAAAAAAGAAAGTAGGCCAGGCATGGTGGCTTATGCCTGTAATCCCAGCACTTTGGGAGGTGAGAGGGTGGCCTGAGTCCAGGGGTTCAAGACAAGCTTGGGCAACTTGGCAAGACCTCATCTCTACAATAAATCAAAAAATTAGCAGGACATGGTGGCGCACACCTGTGGTTCTGGCAACTTGGGAGGCTGAGGCAGAAGAATCGCCTGAGCCCAGCAGGCTGAGTCTGTGGTGGCTGTGAGCATGCCACTACATTCCAGCCTGGGCGGCAGAGTGGGACTTCGACTCACAAAAAAGAAAGTAAGAAAGCAACTCTCAGCTCCAACTACCATTCTCCTGGATATAACCCTTGAGGTTTCAAGGCTTTACGTCAGGTGCTAAGTAAGAGAATTAAGATGTTTTCCTTGGCTGAAGTGGTGGCTCAAGCCTGTTGTCCCAGCACTTTGGGAGGCCAAGATGAGAGGATTACCTGAGCCCAGGGGTTCGAGACCAGCCTGGGCAACTTGGTGAGCCCTCGTTTCTACAATAAATCAAAAAATTCAGCCAGGCATGGTAGCGCACACTTGTAGTCCCAGCTACTGGAAAGGCTGAGGCAGAAGGATTGCTAGAGCCCAGTGGGTTGAGACTGGGGTGACCATGAATGAGCCACTGCATTCAGCCTGGGCGTCGGAGTGAGACTCCAACTCAAAAAAGGGAGTTCTTGTATTTTTCTAGCCTAATTTGTAATGATCTTGCCCGAGCAGACAGTGTTCCAGTCCATCTAAGGAGAAGGAACGTCTGAAAGAAACACAGCTTGCGTTTTCAGGACTCACCGGGTCCACATTCCAGCAAACTATGGACATGCTAAACAGTTGAATGGCAGCTGGTATCCCAGCCTCCTATTATCGAGCTCTGCAGATGTAATGGGAAGCTTGTTCTACACATGTTTACATTACATTTCTACAGTCTAAAGTAACCCGTGAAACATCTTCTAATTACTTTTTACATGCGCAGTCAGGATCTGGGCTAGTGAGCACACCGCCACCCCCTCGCTTCATGGGAAGCTTGACCCTAAAAGCCACCAGCTGCGTCTTACTGTGACTTCGATGGTGCAGGGGCAGTGAGGCACCGTCACCGGCTTGAGAGGTCCCGCCTGGGCATGGCGGAACTCGCCGACCCGAGTCCGTGGCAGCAGAGGACGGAACTGTTTTTAACTAATTGTGGTAACAAACCCAGTGTTGAAAGTCAGCCATCTTATTTCTTGAAATGTAGCATCTTTCTGATGCCTCCCAGCGGGTGTTTCACTGCGCGTGGTAGTTGATGCTTAATTTTTTTTTTTTTTTTTTTTTTTGAGTTGGAGTCTCACTCTGTGGCCCAGACTGGAGTGCCATGGCCGCTCCCGGCCACTGCAGCCTCGACCTGCTGGGCTCCGGCGATGCTTCCGCCTCAGCCTTCCAAGTAGCTGGAATTACAGGCATGTGCTACCATGCCTGGCTGATTTTTTGATTTATTGTAGAGATGAGGTCTCACTGCCCAGGAGGGTCTCGAACCTGTGGGCTCAGGCAATCCACTCACCTCAGCCTCCCAAAGCGCGGGATTACAGGCTGAGCCACCAAGCCCGGCTTTGATGCTTAATTATTGGGGAACTTTCCCCTCTTCCCTCCCGCCTAGCCTCAGTGAGAGGTGCTTGGTCACACACTCCTGCACATGGTGTGGAAAAGCGCTGGGCTAGCCCTCGGGTCTGAGGTCTAGCCTGCCTGGGGCCTGAGCAAGGAACTTGGAGTTTCCAGGTCTGCAGTGTAAACGGAGAGTCGAGTTTGGATTTGGAGATTCTCTTCCCCTCTGTATTGTAGTGGGTGGTGCCCGTTTTTGCAAAAGAAAAGAGAAAACATATTAAGCTGAGTTTTTTTTAATCTGTGGGACATGATCCAGCTATATGAGGGGGACCCAAAAACCCTGGAATTTTCTTATAAAAAAATCATGTATTGATTCTTCCATGCTTAACTTCAGTCTCCTTCAAGGCACTCTCTGTTTGATGCCATACAGCTACCGAGGTGCTTTTTCCATTGCTCAATAGATGTTGAATTTGTAGATTTTGATGCTCTTTAGTGTTTCTGCCATTTTTTGTTGTCCCTTTTCCACACTGGCAAACCGTTTCCCTTTGAGGATTTTTTTCATCGGGGAAACAAAATAAAAAAAAAGTCACTTGAATAAGGAGGTGAATAAGGTGGGTGGGTCCTGGGCTCTTTTTTTGGTCAAAAACTGCTGAACACTCGGTGAGGTGTGGGCAGCTGTGCTCATGAATCACCCATCATGAAATGGGCAAGTGGTTGGAAGGTCTCCATCTCAAGCAGTGGCTCATACCTGTCATCCCAGCACTTTGTGGACGCTGGGGTGAGAGGGATGCTTGAGCTCAGAGGCTTGAGACCAGCCTGAGCAACTTGGTGAGACCTCATCTTTACAATAAATAAAAAAATTAGCCAGGCGTGGTGGTACATGCCTGTGGTTCCAGCTACTTGGAAGGCTGAGGCAGAAGGATCACCTGAGCCCAGCAGGTTGAGGCAGCAGTGGCCATGAGCGTGCCATCACACTCCAGCTTGGGTAGCAGAATGAGAATCTGACTCAAAAAAAAAAAAAGAGTCTCAAAAAACCTACCTCTCACAATGCTAGCTGGTCTACGGATGCCGATGCGTTCCTAGAACATTCACCGAACAGGGGAAGCCTGTCCTACAAGGGGCCCTCCAAAAGATAATTCCAGGGTTCTTTTGGGCCTCCCCTCATATATTAAAAATAATTATGCTGGATACGGTGACTCATGCCTGTCATCCCGGAGCTTTGAGAGGCAGAGGTGAGAGGGCTGCCTGAGCCCAGGGGTTTAGACCGGCCTGGGCAACTTGGTGAAATCTCGTCTCTACAGTGAATCAAAAAATTAGCTGGGCAGGGTGGCATGCACCTGTGATTCCAGCTACTAGGAAGGCTGAGGTGGAAGCACCGCCTGAGCCCAGCAGATCGAGGCTGCAGTGTCCATGAGCATGCCACTGCACTCCAGCCTGGGTGACAGAGAATACTCAAAAAAAAAAAAAAAAAAGTGACAGTGGGTCCTGGTAGCAGTTCTAGAACAGGTCGTACATGGGGTCCTGTGTATATCTTGTTGTTTGTATCTTTAATGACCCCTGTGCCCTACAGGGAAGATGAGTGGATCATCGCAGCCGTGGACTGCCTGGAATACCTCCCAGACCAGATGGTGGTGGAAATAAGCAGAAACTTCCCTGAGCAGCCGGACCGTACAGACTTGGTGAAAGCTCTTTTGTTCGATGCCATCAGCAGGTACTACAGCGGCCGGGAGCCCCTGCTGAGTCACCTGTGTGATGTTCACAATGGAATCGCAGAACTCCTGGGTAAGTGGGATCGTCCTGGACACGAGAGCTCACCCTTTGAAGGAAGCCAGAAAAAGAGGACTGACCCCAGCATTAACCAAAACAGCGCTGCTCCAAGCTGAATGTGTGTCTCGATTAATCCAGGGAAAGGGTGTTTATTCCTGAATGTCAAGGGCTCTTTGCAAAGAGGCTTTAGCAAGTGCTGAAGTTACACACAAGCTTCTGGTGGCTCCAGGAGTGCAATACTGCCCTCCCTCACCAGAAGCTTGAGCAGAAAGCAGCCCTTCTTTTCTGGAGAAGACCTGCCACCAGCAACCCCCCCTGCCCCAGGGTCCCCAAAACGGCGGACACTCTGCTGTGTCCTCTGCCAGTGAGCCAGGCTGTTCCACGTAGTTGTTTGTGTGCGTGTGTGTGTGTGTGTCAGAGTCTCTCTTTCACCTAGGCTGGAGCATAGCCGCACAGTCACAGCCACCGCAGCCTCAAGTTGCCGGGCTCCAGCAATCCTTCCACCTCAGCCTTCCAAGTGCTGTAACTAGGCACATGCCGCCACACCCGGCTGATTTTTTGATTGATTGTAGCGACGAAGTCTCGCCAAGTTGCCCAGGCTGGTCTCAGTCAGTCCTCTCACCTCCGCCTACCAGAGTCCTGGGGTGATAGGCACACACCACCACTCCCGACCAAGTTCTGAAAACCAGTGGGAGGTTTCAGAGAATCCTTTTCCTCTTTCAGATAGAGTTGGATGCGTGAGTGCGGACCACGTAATAGACCCCCAAGATGTACTGAGTTAATTGAAAACAGGCTGGGAATTTATCTGCAGGCTGAGAGACTTAGCGCCTGTGAGACAGGACGTGGGGTGTCCGCTGCCAGTTGAGCACCAGCACCCCTCCTGGTTCTTGTTTTGCGCTGGAGCTCCTCCTCCTGTTTGCTTTCTTGGAATACGTGTGCTTTTTTTTTTTTTTGAGTTGGAGTCTCACTCTGTCGCCCAGACTGGAGTGCAGTGCCCGCTCCGGGCCACCGCAGCCTCGACCTGCTGGGCTCCGGCGATCCTTCCGCCTCAGCCTTCCAAGTAGCCGGAATTACAGGCATGCGCCACCACGCCCGGCTGATTTTTTGATTTATTGTAGAGATGAGGTCTCGCTGCCCAGGCGGGTCTCGAACCCGCGGGCTCAGGCAATCCACTCACCTCAGCCTCCCAAAGGCGCGGGATTACAGGCTGAGCCACCGAGCCCGGCTGATATTTCTTATTTATCTGTCAGTGTGCATTTGGGTTTCTTTCATTTTCTGATTATTACAAATAATGCTGCTATGAACATGGATGTACAATCTCTTTGAGTCCCTACTTTCTTTCTTTTTTTTTTTTTTTGAGTTGGAGTCTCACTCTGTTGCCCAGACTGGAGTGCAGTGGCTGCTCCCGGCCAACGCAGCCTCGACCTGCTGGTCTCCGGCGATCCTTCCGCCTCAGCCTTCCAAGTAGCTGGAACTACAGGCGCGTGCTACCACGCCCAACTAATTTTTTTTTTTGATTTATTGTAGAGATGAGGTCTCGCCAAGTTGCCCAGGCAGGTCTCGAACCCGCAGGCTCAGGCAATCCACTCACTTCGGCCTCCCAAAGCGCTGGGATTACAGGCTGAGCCACCGAGCCCGAGTACCTACTTTCAATTCTTTTGGGTATACAGTATACTCAGAAATGGAATTGTTAGATCATATCGTGATGCTATGCTTAATTTTGAGGAACTGCTTAAGTATTTTCTTTTTTTGAGTTGGAGTCTCACTCTGTCGCCCAGGCTGGAGTACAGTGGTACGCTCACAGCTACCCCAGAGTCGACCTGCTGGGCTCAGGCGATCCTTCAGCTATCAAGCCCAGCTAATTTTTTGATTTATTGTAGAGACGATATCTCGCAAAGTTAGGTGCTGGGATTACAGGCTTGAGCCACTGTGCTGGCTGTGTTTGCTTTAAATGCAGACTTCTCTAAAAGATAAATGGCTATCTATAGTCATTAACATTTTAATATGCTTAAGTATTTTCCATAGTCACAGCAGTATTTTACATTTTCACCAGTAATATACAGGGTTCCAGTTTCTCCACATTTTTCCTACATTTGCAATTTTCTGTTTTTGTTTTGCTTTTTTCATAATAGCTATCCTAATGGGTATAAAGTCGTCCTTATTTTTTTTTAATAGCTACATTTTACTTCATTTGGGTTGGATATACAGTCTCTATTAGTGGACATTTGGGTTGTTTCCTATCTTTTGCTATTACAAATAGAGCTGCATGTGTATTTTCACATTTTATTTTATTTTTTTTTATTTATTTATTTTTGAGTTGAGTTCAGTCCCAGACTGAAGTGCAGTGGCTGCTCCCGGCCACCGCAGCCTTGCCTGCTGGGCTCCGGCGATCCTTCCGCCTCAGCCTTCCGAGTAGCCGAAATTACAGGCAGGCGCTACCACGCCCGGCTGATTTTTTGATTTATTGTAGAGATGAGGTCTCGCTGCCCAGGCGGGTCTCGAACCCACGGGCTCAGGCAGTCCACTCACCTCAGCCTCCCAAAGGCGCAGGATTACAGACTGAGCCACCGAGCCCGGCTGTTTTCACATTTTAAATAGCATATTTTTGGATTGGGTTCCTACAAGTACACATGTATATGTTTTTTCCTTGATATTGCCAAACCTCTCTATAGGAGTTGTACCATTTTGTATTACCACTACTAATATATGAGAGTACCTGTTTCTTCGCAGCTTTATCAATGTTGTCTTTTTCTTTTTTGTTAGTTTTAAACCAATCTTATAGGTGGAAAATGATGTTTCAATTATTTTCATCACTTACTTTACAGAGACAAACTCCTTCATAATTGTTCATACATCAAGGTTTATTATCCTTTTGTTAAGAGTATGACATTTGGAGCCAAAAGAAAGCAAGCCCAAGTTTTGCTCCTTATCAACTATGTGGCAGTGGCAAAATTACAGTATCATTGTGCCATCATTGGAATGGAATTGATGATAATTAATCAAATGATTACACTGTACTCAAATAAATACATGAATTCATAAATGGATACTTCAAATGAATGTTCATTACTTTTCAAAGCTCTGTTCATTGCTGTTGCACAGATATTCTTAGCATTCCTTGACTCTACCAAGTGTTGGCAAATGTTGTCTCTGCCTGGAAGGCTCTTCCAGTATTTCCTTTGGTAATATCTTAGTTTTCAAGGCCTGGGTTGGATGTTATTTCCTTGTGAAAGCTGGGATACCTAGAAGTTAGTGACTCTCTCCTCTATACTTACTGATATGTTTTATGTGTACAACTATTTTAATGTGTATATTATTATATTGGAATTGTTTACATTTTTATTCCTCCCATTACTTCCTTGAAAGCAGAGCTGGTCCTTACTCATCTTTGTATGCTTGGGACCTAACACAGAACCTCACTCACAGTAACTGCTAGATAAGTGTTTGAATTAATTCATGAACTTTGTAACCTATAAATCCATTAGAGATGATGGTAGTTACAGTTATGGTTTTAGTGCTAGACCTAAGCACTTAATCTCCTGGGGTTGGTGAAGATAGTGATGGTAATTCCAATATCAAGGTTACCACATACCTTTGAATATTAGTATTTTACTTTGCACTTGTTTTTTCTTTTTGGGTCAAAGTAACTTGAAGCTTTCAACATTACGTTTTTATATTTTTTAAATAAATGGTGCAATTAAGCAAAGACATAAAGTTACACAACTTTCCTATCTCTAGGTCTTTCGTATTTCTTTTGCATGAATATTCTCCAGCTTTGCTTGTCAGAATTCTGTTATACTTGATCCATTGTTAAGTTTAAAAAATAAAGCAAGAGGGGAAAGTATATAACAAAACATTTTGGATGGTATCTTTCTGTTTTTTTTTTCTCACTGTTGCCCAGGCTGGTCTCGAACTCCTGGACTCCAGTGATCCTCCCACCTTAGCCTCTCAAAGTACTAGGATTACAGACGTGATCCACTATATCCTACCATCCTGGTTTTGTTGGAAAAAAATTTTTTATGTATGCTTGTTCATGTGGAATGAGTGATCTGTTAGGATTTTCACCAGGACAAACAGTAGTTGTTCCTGAGTTAGCATGGTTTGTGTTTTCTTTTCTTTTCTTTTTTCTTTTGAGTTGGAGCCTCACTCTTTCATCCAGACTGGAGTGCAGTGGCACACTCCCCGCCACCGCAGCCTTGACTTGCTGGGCTCAAGCAATCCTTTCCCCTCAACCTTCCAAGTAGCCAGAACTACAGGCATGTGCTACCACGCCCAGCTAATTTTTGATTTATTATAGAGATGAGGTCTCGCCAAGTTGCCCGGGCAGGTCTCGAACCCGCGGGCTCAGGCAGTCTTCTCATTGGCCTCCCAAAGTGCTGGGATTACAGGCTGAGCCACCGAGCCTGGCCAGTTTGTGTTTTCTATGTTTTGTACTCTTAAATTTTTTTTGGAAGTAACACATTGTGCTGTTAAAATAGTAAAGTTAGTAAAGAAATTTTATTTTTAAAAAATCACAACTGGGCTGGGTGTGGTGACTCAAGCCTGTCATCCCAGCACTTTGGGAGGCTGAGGTGAGGGGATTGCCTGAGTCCACCGGTTCGAGAACAGCCTGGGTGACTTGACTTCATATTATTTCTACAATAAATCAAAAGATTATCTGGACATGGTAGTGCACGCCTGTAGTTCTGGCTTCTTGGAAGGCTGTCGATGCAGGGGTGGCCATGAGCATGCCACTGCACTCTAGCCTGGGCAATGGAGTGAGACTCCAACTCAAAAAAAAAAAAATTTACAACTGTCCTTTTTTCCCAGTGTAAGGCCTCAGATTTAGTGTTTATTAAATATATTTTGATTGACTAAGTACAGCATAAGGAAGAACTTGATAAATGCTACAAAAAAGACAAAGTGCTTAGGGGATTCAAAAAGAGAAGGATCACATGTGGAAGGGATCAGCAAAGGCTTCAAGTTACAGATGATATTTGAGTGAACCATGAAAGACAGGTAGATTTTTGTTGTTATTTTCAGAAAATAGTATGATTTGCCCCATGTGTCAATAATTATTAACATTTTGTGAATAGACTTTTTAGAAAATGCAATTTCCTCGTTGTATTTATTCCTA